GTTGAAGCATTAACAAGTTACCATGCTGATGTGGCAACTGATGGGATGAAATTGGGTTGAATAACAAATAATACCGAGTTAAATACCACATCACTCGCCACATCAGCATAATAACCGGTTAATGCTTCAACTAGTTACCGGAGTGCTTAAATGTTTAAAACTTTACATCTTACATACCAAAATGGAAGTTTTGAAAGTATGTTACCTAAAATAGGAATCAAGTTAAAGTACGTTACTTTTTTTCATGCAATTTGCACTTAAAGAAACCCAACTAAAAAAGAAACATTATATATATGTATATGTGTATGTATATATATATATATATATATATATATATATATATATATGGATACACAATTATAGCATATGGCATAGGTAATATACAAAATCCACAACCACTTGGACCCTTTCATCTTTGTGTCAAAGTTTTTCTACACTAGGTAGCACCATGTGATAAGCACTCAAAAGTGGATTCTCTTTGAGCACTATATTAGAAGAACAAAGTTTCAGCTTAGCATCTAATGCTATCACAACCTCAAACTACAACCCACCTACAGAAAAGTCATTGATGAGTAAATAATACCCAATTAAAGTCGCAATAATTCCTCAAACAGTTTGTGTGCACTAAAAGAACACCTACTGTCAATGGTTAGTTCAAACTACATCAACGAGTTTGATCAATAAATGAACATTTCATGTTCTTCACACAAGAGGAGCTAATTAATTGGTGAGAAACAAGTTGTAGATTTTTACTTCACTTGTATGAATACTAATGTACAAATTAGGCTGGCTTAAACAACCTGTAACAAATTCAGGAAGAAAATGAACCAAGAAACAATACTACCAGGAACATGAGATTTCAATTCTCTTTTCCACCTCCTTCCACCTTATAAATTTTACCCAAAATCTCCAACAGCAAGGATCTACACAATCATTTCTATCACAACTTTTTCCTTTTTGATTAAAAATGGAATAAATCTAATTCCCCTGCAGTTTTTGTGATATTGATCTTCAAAATTTCTTTAGTTTGAAAACAAGCATTTATCCAAAACATATGTGTATCGATTTCTAGATATACAAGATTTAGAAACTTACGTGTATCATTGCCAACGATTTCTGGATAAACAACCAAAGAATCTGGAGTAGGATTCGATTTCTAATGAACAAACGAAAGAACCGGAGGGAAGTGGAGCCTTGGAGATCTGGACTGTCGAAGAATCACCGTGTGCGAGTTCAAAGGTTGAAGAGAAGCATCGATTGAGTTGAGTGGTGGTCTGGTGGAGCCGTACGTGGAGAAGAAGCATCGCTTCAATTCTCATTGTTGCTTTGAAGAATGCAACTCTCCTAGAGAATATGAATGGTCATCTGATTCTTTAAATGTTTAACAGTTCATAGATCGGTGCATGTTATGCAGATGAAATGTCAGTTTCAATGAAAAACAACCACTTCGATTATAATGTTTACAAATAACTGTAACTTGAAAAGTATGTATGCTCGGCTCGACCGGTTTGAGAGCTCCACTCAATTTGAAAAAGTTAATCGAGTTTTCGAACGAGTCGAGTCGAGCGTTGGCTTTAAGGAGCTCGACTCGTTAACTTAAAAGAGCATTATTTTGTGTTAAAGATCGACTCAAGCTCGAGAATTACCAAGCTCGAACTTGTTTATAGCTCGTTAAAAGCTCGACTCTTTTTTTTTTTGATTAACCTGGATTTCCGACCTGCTATGCGAGCCGACTAATTCCAGGCTGACCACCTGCTTTGTAGATAGCCCGGAGTCACCGCATTTGAACCTCCATGGCCACAAGAGGATTTTTATTCCTCCTTGGATTTAAACATGAGACCTCCTACTTTTGACATTTGGAGCCAAGCTCAAACCAATCAGGCACCACCTTTGTGGTTAAAGCTCGACTCTTTAACACCCCCTAGTTGGGGGTTGGGTGGCCAAAAACTGGTCCCGGACCATGCTGGGCCTAATTGGTCTCAAGCTTTCTTTTAACCGGCCATAACCAGTCCCGATCGAAAATGGTAGAACCAGTCAAGGTACTTCATAACCGGTTATGGCCCGCCGGTCCCGGCATTAAAAAATAAGATTTAAAAACAAATTTAATGATAAATATTTTTAATACATTATAAAATTTATAATTGGGTCACTCAAATACACTTTAAAAATACGTTTTAATATAATTAAAATTACATTGTCTTATAAAAATACATTATAAAATTATTTAAAAATACATTATAAAATTACTAGAAGCGTACTCGCGCAATGCAGCGAGATACATCATGATTTTAATATTTCATTTTCTTCTTTATCTCAGTCGATATTATAATATGACTTTA